CAACTTCACTCAACGACGCCCGGATACTTCTGGGTGCTTCAGTTTTTTTTTTACAAAGACAACCAAATGTGTCAGGTCCGATCAAAATTCAAAGACAAAATATTAATATAGATGAGAAACGTTGGGATGCTTTCCTTGCACAAACGTCAGTGATACATTTTTATAAGGTTTTGCTTTTCATTTTAAAACTGATAATATTCCTCGGACCGCGACCCTCCATCCCCTCCACATCTCCTCGCTGCTGCCGGAGGATGCGACCGGGCTAAGCCCGGGCCGCAGACAGTGGTAGCAGGGAGTGCTCTTGCGTTGCCTTCTCCCCCGCTCGGGATGGTGGTGGTCCAGGGTTTCCATGGCGGCGACGGCTCCTCCGGCGGTGCGACGATAGGCGGTGCGGGGAGTAGGTGTGGCTTTGGCGATAGCCCCGCATCGTTTTGGGTGGGTCGAGGCTAGGCGGTTGTAGCGACTTCATTTTGCTCGTACGGCGCTGGCTTCCGACAATTCAAATTTGCTCTAGTATAGCCTCCCGACAACAGCTTCGGTTCTCCTTCGACCCTCTAAAGCAAGGTTTCTAGCGAGGCCCTCCATTGCCTCGAGGTCTACGATGTGGGATCCTGGCCTTCAGGCCTGACATGTCTCCTGCCGACGTTAAAGACATGTCCTACCTTGCACGACCGACCGCTCATGGGCTTGGGCGTGCACGTTTGTCGGCGCAAGCCATACTCTTGGTTGTGGCCAGAGCCGTCAATGGTGGTGCCTATGGGCCCTATTACCTTGTGGCGTCGAAGCTGCAATTCACGCCTTCTTTTCTGGCATATTCCAGGGAAAATCCCATATCTACGTCTACCAGGTCGGACGGTGGCGATCCTATGGCTTTTCTTGGCGCCCCATTCTCTCTTGGGGGCATTGTCCTAGAGATGACACCAGTCGGAGGGACTTGTGCTTTGAGTTCATGGTCATCGGCAGCTCATGTGGTAACATTGATGGGAATGAACGATGTTAGGGCACGACAAGGTTGTGGTAGTCGTCTTGTCCGACGTGTCCATGGTGTTGTTGGATCTCTTTGTTGTGGAGCATTCTGAGTTGCAGCGGCAAGGCCCTCATTTTAGCTCGGCTTCGAAATGGGAGATGCCTTGCCACCAGCATGTGTGGCCGAATGTTTGGCATAGTCCGGTAAGTCTTGTCCTCTCATTGTGGCGAGGCGTCGTTGCTGGTCGAATGCACTAGAAAGGTGTCTCTTCTCAGGGAGAAGTGATGATGATGGTAGTTTGCGAACAACCTCGATGGTGTTCCTTTCCTCGGTGTTGTGTGTGGATCCTACGGGTAGCCGTGTTGGCTAGTAATGCCCTGTGTGGACGTGTTGCACTGGTTTTCGCCCGGTTTTTCATAATTATCTGGGAATTCTCTTCTTCTTAATTAAAAATATTGAGCCCATTGGACTTCAATTTCAAAAAAAAGTTGATTTTTTCACATGGATTAGTCAGGCTTCAAAAACATTGATTGCCTTATTTTTCTACAACATTTAGATTGAAATTATCATATTGTGGATTTGTCTCCGCAAATACTTATATCATAAATACAATGTAACATAAACCAATAGTCAAAGGTGTGTTATAGAATGTTTAGTCTAAAATATCATCTTTATTGGAACTTGGGGCTAGAGGTTTTTATTTGGTTGCCTTGGCAGGGTTTCGACATGTCCCCCTTAAAAAAGGGTCATCTTCGTCTAATATTATTTTCCTCTCTTGCTAAATGTTAAGGCAATGCTCCCGCCGGTTAATTCTTCGAAAACTAGAACTTATAGTGTCTATGTATGTCCTCTATTTTTACTTTGGTTATGTTGTTGCCACTTTGTGAACAACAAGACCGACAAAGACTAGTTCATAGAATATGCCACTTTATTTTCTTATAATAATGTGATACGTTGGTGGACACAACAAGTAAAGGGGGGGTGTAGGCGGATGCCATAGGTGAAGAAAAATGATGCATAAAAATGTGAGAATACGTGTTCAGGGACCATCGGTCGACATCTAATCAATTATTGTGAAATGAAACGGTGGACTGAGTAAATGGGCATGTAAAATGACCTTATTGTTGGGCATCGAACACTAACATGTGTAAACATTTGTTGTTCCTCAACTATATCAATAAACTATAAATCATCCCTCAACTCCAAAATTGGGAATCCTTATATTAGTTCTTCATGTATCAAAATCATATACTTTGGTCTCTCCCCCGATGGTTCTGGCAGTAACATGTTCTATTGTTGACACAAATCTGACACGGTGGTGATGTTTGACCATTCAGATCATGCCACGTAAGCACCACAATGACGACAATGACTACTCACACTAGCCGATGAAGTCATTTGCCATTCTGGAGTCGCATTGACTTGTTTTTCGCACCATGTTTCCCCTCCTGCTCCATGAGAACACCCAGCAAAGCCCCAGTTGTTGTTGGACATCAGCAAGAGCACAAGCGTATTGAAGTCTGGCTGCCTACATGTGGTCCTGGTGTCGTATCTGCCACGACAAATCGATGGTTCCAATGCATACGCCGCAATAGCCTCCCACCTTGCCCTTTGCTCGCCTTCTCACTATGTTTGAGCCGTTGGCGGCGCCGACCTCTATGCCACAACCAACAAATGGAAGAAAATCATGCTCGAGGAGCAATCATGAAATCGTCAATGGGAGCAATCACATTTCACATTGGTTCCAATTTCTTGCTATGGGATGCATCTCTCTCCCTCAAAACTAGATTATTAGAACCTTCTCACCTCACTCTAACTCTCGGCACTTGGTGGATGCCCCAAGTGTCATCGTTTGTCAGCAGTTGTGATAAACCATGATGCCTAGCCGAAAGACCTTGTAGTTCATGTTCGCCTCCCCTTCTCAAGCTAGAAGACCTTCTATCAATCCCACATCACCATCGTTATCAGCTTCAGCTCAAGTAGGCAACCTCTGGACTCCTTGCCTTCCCTAGCATCGAAGCGACATCCCATCTCCACTGCTACATGGGAGGCGGGAGGATTTTTGTTGGAGTGGCATGCCAGTGATGTTCCTTTGTTTTAAGGGTGGTGCTTAGGCTGATGTCAAGGGTGTTGTGCATATGGAGCATGAGCATGCTTGGCCATCGGTGTTTGTATCATCATTGTATGTTCTCGATTAATATGGTCACTAAAGGTGGCACATTGGCTAGGCTCAAGGACCGACTATAGGATCCCTCTACCAAACCCACGCACACGACGGGGATTGCTTCATCTTCGTAGCCGGGTCCAGCGTCGGCAGATTCCTCGAGATGACATCGGAAGAGTGAAGACCTAATTCAGACGGATTTTGATTGTATTTACTCGATGTGGTTGTTAAGTTAGTTCTACATGTCGGGTTTTAAGGAAACAAATGTCCACAACATCACCAAACCACCATAATGGTCAAAGGGACAAAAAGTATATGGTTTTGACAGTTGGTCAAAGGGGCGAAAAGTACATGCTTTTGACAGTTGGGTGGGAGGGGGACACACATGATTTGTGGTTTTGGAATTGAGCGGCGATTTGTAGACATGTGATACACTTGAGAGACAAAATGTATCTTTCTCCATCTTTAAATACTACTGGATTAGTCTGCGACTCACAGTTGAGATAGTGGTACTTTTATTGAGGGTGCTAGTTTAAGAATAGCTATTCTCAGTGTTGTGTTGTTGAGGGCCTTGGCGACATGGAACCGGATTTCTTCAGGGTTTCTACTTCTGCACACAATTGTGTGACAGAAAAGTTCCCTCGACCCTATTGCGCTAGAAACTTACAGAACATCTCGTAGGATACAAATCCTTGGTCAAAGTCATTTTTTTCCTTACCTTAATTTGTATGGAAGAAGGTTGCCAAACTAAGAAGCCACAAATTCAAGTAAAAACATGTAGTTATAGTATTGTGTATATTTACTCTTTCTTTTCCACAACGGTGCTATTTGCTCGAAACTAAGTCGCAATCTCATTCCATCCATCATCTCATTTCTCATTGCATCTTTCCATTTCTTTCTACCTCTTCTTGTTCGTCTCCTCGGAGTCTCTGTGTGTGTGCGCGCACATGTGTCCTCACAGCCCACTTATGTTCGGTGTTAGATTGACTGGCTCTCGATTCCCGTCGAGTTGCCAATGCCACCATTGTTCACTGCCGCCGCAAGGTGCGTATCCTTTTCTTTTGAATACCCATTTTGGTGAGTTGAAAGATGGTGTGATGCAAGTTGAATGCTTGATTGAAAAAAAGAGTAAGGCTTTCGCCGGTACATAGGTTAAATTTTGGGATACAGAAAGTCGCCATTTTGGTTTGAGAGTTTCAATTGATTTAGTTTGGCTGGCAATGGATCTTCCCGTTATTGACTCAAAAACTTGGCGAGGTGCTGACAAAGGAGGAAGGTTAACTTGGTACCATTTGGGAGAAATCTTATGTATGATGGAGAGCCGGGAATGAAGAAGAGGAGAAGGGCCAATGAGGGGATGGGGTAGAGAGGGGGGAGGAGTGGTGCACCGTCAAGTGTGCCGCAACGTACGTGCATACGGTACAAGCTCCCCTGCATACGAGTAGTAACTGTACCGCTCTCTTCGAATATGATGCAGCTTCAGTACAACTTTAGTCCGTATATAAAGTTGTACTCAAGCTGCGTCAATTAATAGGAATTAATATGAATCGAAAAAAGTAATTTATTGTCCATAAATCCAGTGTGGCGCCAGGTGTCGAGTGAGCCAGGGGATGTTGATGCCCACACTTCACAGAGAAGAGACAAAAGGGAGCCTCATGTCACACGATCCACCACCCGCCCGCCTTCGTCACGCTGCCGCTATTTAACCTTCGCTCGCCGGTCCCTCGGCCCCTCCAAGTCACCGCGGTCGTGCTCAAGCATTTTTCATTTCCTCCCTGGTCCACAGCAGTTTCCCCTGCTCCACTTCTCCACCTCGTACTGTCGTACAGAGCGAGCAGAGCAGGCACCGGCGGCCGCCGGCGAGGACGCATGGTTCGCCGCATGTTCCGGCTGTCCGACATGATACCCAACGCCTGGTTCTACAAGCTCCGCGACATGGGCGCCCATGGACGCGGCGGCGTTGGGGTGCATCATCGGTCCTCGTCGGCGCGGTCCTACCAGCAGCCGCCGTCGGCTCGGGGGTCGTCGGCTCGGTGGAGCGTGGAGGCCGTGCAGCGGCCGCCGTCATCCGGGTGGTACAGGGAGGTAAGCAACGACATCCAGCAGCCGGAGGCCGACGTCGAGCCGCCGGTCACGCCGACGAAGGAGTCGCCCCGTGTCCCGCTCCCTCGCAGGGCGTCGTACTACTACTCCACCAGAGACAGGGAGGTCCCGGCGCCGCCGGCTCCGAAGCCGCCGAGGGTCAAGGACGCGCAGTCGCCGACGAGGAGGTCCCGGAGGCGACACAAGGTGGACCACGCGCCTGAAGAAAGAGGACCCGCCCGGGGGAAGGAACCCGTGGTCGGCGCGCTAGGCAGCTCCGGTCGGCGTCGTGACATGTGCATCAAGAGTGACGGCGGGGAGCCCCGGAGGCCAACGGTGAGAGGCCCGGCGGACGACGGCCGCAACGTCAAGGTGATCGCGTCGCACAACGAAATCATCATCGACCTGCGGGACGAGGACACGCCCGGGAGAAGGCTCCGGCCAATCGTGACCAAGCCGGCGAGGAGACGACCTGTGCCGAACGAGCAGGATGGCAGCCAAGCCGACCTCGCCGACGTGACCGCGAGAGCGAGCTCTGCCTCCGACAAGAGCAGCGTCAGCAGGCCGAGGCGTTCTTCCGCATCATCGTCGGGCCGCCGCCGCCTCAAGACGCTCTCCAAGAGCCCGCGTCTGGCCGCCACCGCCAGGAAAGTGCACCCGCCGTCCCGGAAATGGACGGCACCGCCGCCACCGCTGCTGGCGCCGGTGATCGTGAGCAGCTACCCGGTGGTGAAGATGTCGGAGGACCCACGGCAGGACTTCCGCGAGTCCATGGAGGAGATGATCAGCGCCAAGGGCATCCAGGATGCGGAAGACCTGGAGGACCTCCTGGCCTGCTACCTCTCCCTCAACGACGCCGCGCACCATGACCTCATAATCGACGTCTTCGAGCAGATTTGGGTGAGCCTCGCCGGCGCCAGGCCTTGAAAGAGACCCGCCGGCCATGGCAGCTCCGCGGTGCAGCAATGGTGGATCCTATCCTATCCTCACCATTGCTGCGGCATTAATTAACTAGATTAATTGGCTCTATATCTTGTTAATGATAGCAAATTAATAAGAGATCTCCATATATAGAAGGAAATTTGCAACCCTCCTGCACTGATATGCATGCATTGGTGATCTCCATATAGAGTAGAGTGAATAAAATAAAAGAGAAACTTTTGTTCTTTCCGTGCTCGGTGTGGTTCTTCTTTGCTGGATGCTTGGTCGCGTGATGATGGTGTGATGCTGCTCAACGGCTTGAGCACTACACTTGTTGTGAACTGTATACATGCCATGCCATGCCATGCCAGTAGGACGGTGACCGTCACTGGTGATGCCGCATTCATGCCAGTAAGATGGAAACTGTCACTAGTGACGCTGTACTGTAGTAACCGTCACTGGAAGCCCGTCACTAGTAAGTTACACTGTTACTGGCATGAATGTCTGCAGCATGCAGTAATAAACTAATTCAAGAACTTACTGTTTCTAGTAAGCTGAAGTGGTCCGATCGAGTGGATGGTTGTAGCCGATCAGATGTAGGTGATCGTAGAGATACAGTGCGACATACGGATTTCGTGTAGTTAATTCAGCCTGCCTCTCTTCTTTCTTAGCCTGAAAAAACTTAGCTGTTCATGAAGAGCCTCCATTTCTACTGTTGTACACGACGTGTACTCCATCCATACGGCGCCATGACATGAAGGCGGAGAGGCTGGGCGACTGCAGCCTTTATTTGTTTTTCCCCTGGTGTTGAATGCTCGGCAGAGAGCAGGATCCTGTTGCTCCTTACCAACTGCTACGAGCGCACGGCCGCTTGATGGCCCGAGACGCAGGGGTCCATGGCGCGGAGGAGCACGAGGAAAGCTTCTTGTTTTGCGCCGCGGGAAACATGGGATGATGCCCCAGGAATGGCATCGCCTTGTCGACACGCCGAGCAGGGCGCCGCGTGACCGATCGGAGGCCCGTTTTGGCAGCCCCGGCGGTTGCCCGTCCGCTGGCAAACGCTGCCGGCCGCTGAATAAGAACACAACACAAGAGAACAGAGCAGTAGGGACGCATGATTGCCCGCGGAGGCAGCAGAGCAACCGCCCCGTGTTTGGGAGGCAGTATCGCCTGAAGATAACGATGCTGTTTGCCGCTGTTAAAAGGAGCATGCGGTTCATCAGAAAACCAACTGATTTTGGCCGTGATTTATCCCTGCAAGAAAACCACATTATTGAGAACGAACACAGACTTGACAAAAGTCGGTACCGCTTACCGCCGCGCCGCTCACGTTCATTCACGGATATTTGCCAAATCTTGCCACATCATTCGGCACGGCAGGACCGCACCGCATACGTGCAACTGCCTCTCTATCTAGCTTTGTCCCGGCCGTGGCCTTTGGCTGCGTGCGCTCCCAAGTCAACACGCATGTATGCGCACAGAGCGGGGGCACTGTAGATCGTGTACCAACCTCGCCCGGGGAGTGGAAGCGGGCACAGTGCGGGTTACTGCTGTGCTCTTGGCAGAAGCTTCCACCGAGAGGTCGCACGCACGGGCACGGGTGACAGGACTCGGGAGCCAATCGGCGGTGGCAGCTACGCGGCCGTATATATGTCTGTCTCCCGGATTGCAGCTTCGGGACCGGACTAGTATCATCATCTGGCGGGCCATCAAATTATGTCACCTCGCCCGTCTCCACTTGGCTGCATGGACAGGATGTTTCCTTTGGACTGCCCAGGCAGGCCGTGGTGACCTGCTGACGATGAATAGTGCCGTGTCAATCGCTACACCTGGGTCGGCTGGTCGTGCATGCATTTGCGCACGCACGTGTGTTAGGTAATACTCCCTTCGTTCCGATTTACTCGTCGTGGTTTTAGTTCAGCCACGGCGAGTAAATTGGAACATGGAGTAGTTCGATCTAGGTCTCAATTACAGGCAGGAAGGTTGAATCAGTCTCATCACTCAGATACAACTTGCTACAGGAAGGAAACAGAAAAGCAAAGCCGCCGTACCGATTTCTGATCCAAGCCCGGATGGTGCTCCTACCGAACGATGTGCCTTATATATGGTTCTTCCACTCCAGCCCCACGTACAGACAGTTGGGTGCTTGATCCGATGTGGCCTGGCGATGACGCGACCTGGCCCCTGATTGGTTGTCGTGGTTGGTTCTGCTGCCAGCGTGTTCCCTCTTGCTGTCGTGTCGGCTGATTCCTTCGTTGCCTTGGCTGTGTTCCTGTCGATCTTCGCTGCTTCTGCAGTTGGGACGCTGACATCCCCCGCTCCTTGAGAGCATGCTTGACCCCAACCTGCTACATTCCGATAACGCCCTTTGAGCATGAGAGCGTCTTCCCACGTAGAGTCCAACAACTCTGAATTTGACCAGCGTATCAAGTATTGCTCTCGTCGTCCCGTGGGAGTCTGTCTTTAGCGTTTGTTGAGTAACTCCACTGGGACTAGTTCTGCAGGTCGAGGAGTTGGTGTCGGTGTCAAAACCGACAGATCTCGGGTAGGGGGGGCAAGCTATGCGTCTAAGGATCGATGGTAATAGGAGGCCGAGGGACACGATGTTTACCCAAGTTCGGGCCCTTTTAATGGAGGTAAAACCCTACTCCTGCTTGATTATGATTGTCGAGTATGAAGATTACAAGAGTTGATCTACCTCGAGATCGTGATGGCTAACCCTAGATGTCTAGCCTATGAGGATTCCGATGATGGTAAAAGATGGCCTCTACGGACTAACCCCTCCAGTTTATATACACACCAGAGGGGTCTATGGATTGTACAAAGTCGGTTTATCAGGGAAGGAAACCTACAGACTCTATTCTTGCCGTCCACATGCTGAGAAGTCCCATCCGGACACGGTAGATGATCTTCGACGTGATCCTGTACGGCCCATGCAACCTGGCCCAAACTCCTAGGCCGGACATCTGAGGACCCCTGACTCCAGGACTCCCTCAGTAGCACCCGAACTTGCCTTCAATGTCGATGTAGTATGCGGACGCAAGTCTTCGGCTTTGCAAGGCGGGTTCTCCATTGTACTTCGGATTGAAGACAGTACGACATCGGCTTCCGCGTCCAGTCTTTATGATTCCTCCCTGCCGTGGCCTCGATTTCCATGCGTTTGAGTGAATGCGAACGGTCCGTTATCCTTGTATTTTAATATTCCTGGTAGGCACAAACCGTGCCTATAAAGCGAGGCGAGGTCTCTAAACTGTCATCTTGCATCACACCAAAAGCAACAGAGCAAACCACCACAAAAAAGACCATGGCGAGCGCCCCTGGTTCCTCCTCGTGTCCTCATGGCCCTAAAGAGGGGGACTGGCAGAGTTGTTCTGTATCTCACCTCCATCTCAGTCGACTCCAGACACAAGGATACCTCCCTCCCCTAGATCTACTCTACGTACGGGCGGGGCTAACTGCGCTGGTGCCGGACAGAGCGGGTTCCGTCCAGGGGCCACGCGCCTTGGGGCCAAGGTGCCTTCTTGAGGGAGAGGCGGCTGGGGCGCCCCCGGAGCTTCCTCGCCCGCGCAGGGCGGGGCACGATGCAGCGAGAGGGATGGAGAAGGGGAGCCCTCAGCGGCGCTGACGAGCTCGGTGATGCGGGCGAGCCACTCGTCATAGAGGTCGTCGAGGGGACGGTAGTGCAGGAGTTCCCGCGCCAGGAGCAACGCGGCGTGCGCGTCCGCGGGAGTGCGACGGGCGTGGGATGAGGAACCGGCTGGAGTCAGCGACGGGGTGGCGGTGCGGCCTTCTCGCCGCACCGAAGGATGCAGGGACGACGCCTGCTGCTCGTTCCCCACCGGGCCGGTGGCGGCGTTGACGGCAGGCGACGGGGAACGACGGCGGAACCCGCCGACGGGGGCCGTCTGGCGATGCGGGTGGCGAGGGCGGCCCTGCGCTCGGCACGGGCTCGACGAGCGTCTGACATGGATGCGAGGAGCGGCGAAAAACACGGCGGTGGAAGGCGGATTCCGGCGCACCCCTACCTGGCGTGCCAAATGTCGGATTTCGGGTTCCAGCAGACCCTCTAGGTTCGAACTCTGGGGTGCACGCGGAGATCGCACCTCCTACCTACCTACGTCTCGCCACCTCGCAAGGATCTAAACTACACGAAGAACAACACAAGGGACACGAGGTTTATACTAGTTCGGGCCACCATTGTGGTGTAATACCTCACTCTAGTTTGTGGTGTGGTGGATTGCCTCAGGGGCTGATGATGAACAATACAAGGAAGAACTACCTCGCGAGGGTGTTCTTGTGTTGGTGGTTCTGGCTAGGGTTCAACTGCTCGATCTGTCGATGCCTCTATACTATGGTGGCTAGCCCTATTTATAGAGCGAGGCCCTGGGCCTCTTCCCAAATATTGAGCGGGAAGGGCGCCAACAATCGGCCATTTCAAAGGGGAACATCTAGTACACTTATCCTGACTAAAGTCGGTCCTCGCCTGGCAAAGGCTCTGGCGGTGACGCAAGCTTGTGCTCCACGATGACCTCCATCCCGCCGTTCTGCCGGTCTTGGTCTTGTCGCACCGAAATGGTTGCCTTTGCTTGATACTCTTGCCTGCGCTTGCGCCCTTTGCACCAAAGAGGAAACAAGGACTCTGCGCAGGTCGGCGCCCGCCTGGCTATGGTCGTCATGGCTTGCGTCATGGGGCACCTCGTGAGATTCCCCGCCTTGATCTCTCCGCCTCCTCGCGAGCCAGCCTGATGAGGCCGTGCCCGAGGAAGCTTCCTGTCGTCCGCCCCGCGAGGCTTGGCCCCTCGCGAGGGTCTTGAGCTTGTGTTGATGAAGATGGGCCGTACTGGGCCACCCCTTGAGCCACGCCGCAGGCCGCAGGCAGGCAAGTCTGGGTACCCCCGTTCCCAGAACGCCGACACAAATAATATTACGATGATGAGATGAAGACGCATTAGACGAAACATGAGAAACCTCCTTTGGTGCAGCCGCCACTTTGCTCTGTTCAATAC